CCACGGGATGGGAATATATATGTACTCCACTGTTCAGTTTGGGCTCAGTAAGATGCTTTTGAAAATAAATTAATACTTTTATTCAGCAAGGACACATTAAATTGATCAAAAGTGACAGTAAAGACATTTATAGTGTTACAAAATATTTCTATTTCAAATAAACGCTGTTCTTTTGAACTTTCTATGCGTCAAAGAATCCTGAAAAATAAAATGTACCACAGTTTCCACAAAAATATGAAGCAGCACAACATTGATAATAATCAGAAATGAGCAGCAAATCAGCATATTATATAGTAATGATGCTGAAAATACAGCTTTGATCACAGAAATAAATTACATTTTACAATATATTACAATAGAAAACAGTTATTTTAAAAAGCAATAATATTTCATAATATTACTGTTTTTACAGAATTTTTAATCAAATAAATGCAGCTGTGGTGAGCAGAAGAGACTTATTAAAAAATATATATTATTGACCCCAAAAGTGTGCAGTATTCAGTGCACTCATATTCCATTCTGACAACGTCTTTGTTTTCCACTCTCACTGTTTTCTGTTTCTCTGGAAGGGCTCAATCTTCACACTCTTTTCTCTTATTCTTTGTTCGTGTTTTGACCTTTGTTACAAATCTTTCCTCACAGAGGACGTGGACCCGTCTGTCGGACGCTTCAGAAACATGGTGCAGACGGCTGTGGTTCCTATTAAGGTACGATCATCAGCCTGCACTTTTCTGCTGCTCTGCTTGCTTGTTTCAGCACGTGTTCATTGATTTGAATGGATTTGAGAACAGCCCTTCTCTCAATACAATTTAAGTTGTTTGTTGCATGGCTCACAAACAGGAAACTGTATAATGCGGGAGTAATGGCTTCTAAAAAGCATCCTCATAGTCTGACTCGTCATATCTGACTGCTAATGTAAAGGAGCTTCGATGTCTTTAGTACTCCGTCTTAGGGCTTGGCGATATAGCTAATAAATGTATCAACGATATAATGTTTCATATCGTTCGGTATCGATAATTATTGACATTTTTTTATAACCTTTTTT